TGTGTGTGTGTGTGTGTGTGTGTCCTCGAGTGAGGCTTGACTCTTGGTGAGAGCCTGGACAAGTCTTTGCAGATTTCTTGTCAAGATTTTGGCAATGATTTAGCACTACCCACTTCCTAAGGACTGACTCAAGGTCAATCAGCTGACTTAGTGCCTGATTAGGACCAGAACCTACTGCCTCCCAGTTTCTAGGCTGGTGTCTTTACCACTATACCAAATGATGGATTCCTCCATGGAGGAATCCATCATTTCAGTATCAGCAGCCATCCACCCGATGTCTAAGCACTTCTAGCAAAGGGTCAGCACATCACTGAACAGTTCTTGTTATTTTTTTTTCCTGATAAACAACCAACAGCTACTCTCTTATTATTTAAGCCCATTATTTCTGTCAAGCCTTCTGGAATAATTCTGAACTATCCAGCCTCTCCTGTACGTGGCACTCCTCCAAATATATAAGGGCATGTATTTGTCCCCTGACGGTCGTCTTTTTCTCCCTGCTGGACATACCTACTGCTTCCAATTGTTCCTTTTAAGTTTTTCCTTTGTCAGCCTGGCCCTCATTGCTTTCCTTCAAGCTTGCTGCCAGCTGCCATGGAAATGGAGGGAGGGAGCAATGGGTATTTGGGAGGGGAAGCGTGCAGGTGATGTGAGACTGGCATTGCTGAGAAGTGTTGGGGAGGCTTGGACTCAGAGAGACCAGCTTGGGTTGTTTAACATCTTCAAGGCCAACCGTCCTGGGAATGGCCTGCACGAAGACGGCGTGGAGCATCTGGACCCAAAATACCTTTTCTCTGAATCTATGCAGTCAAGGGTTTTCTTTCCTAGGGATTGATCGAAGGCAGCACTGACACTCTTATCATGTCAGCTATTCCCTCCCAAATAAACTTCAATTTGTAAAGTTGTTTCTAAAGCACAATGTGGAGATCTAGAAGGTGTCTGAATAATGAGAAATATAGAGGAATTTCTCTGTATCCAGATACTAGATTTCTGCTGAAACTACAGATAGTTTTTGACTTACAAGCACAACTGAGCCTGGAATTTTTATTGTAAGTCATTGTGGTCGTAAGTTGAGCCATCATGGGACTGGACTTGATATTACAACTATTTTTACAATGGCTCTTTAGCAAGTTAGCATAGTTACTAATCAAGTCACATGTTTGTAAGTCTGAATCCAGCTTATCTGATGGATGTTTTTTGCTGAAAAAAGGCAAAGTTGTAAAGTTTATTTGTTTATTTAGCATATGGCAAGTTGTAAAGTGAAATCATGTGAGTGCAGGAGGTTTCAACCAGTCATAAATGGAAGCCAGTTGCCAAGCACCCAAAATGTAGTAATGTGACCGTGGGATGGTGCAGCAGTCATATCTTTGAGGAAGGGCCATGAATATCTTTTTTCAAGTCCATCACATTATTGGCTTATGGTCAGCTAATGATCCAACAAGACAGCTAGATCATTTTCACACGTACCACCTCCCATTAATACATTCATATCCCTTTGATTTTTCCTACCCATAGGTAAGATTTTGCATGTATTCCTTTCAAGATTTTCCTGTTCTCTAAAATGTTTTGTTATCCTTGTGCCCACCCATACATTTTTGTCATTTAATTAAGCCAGAATGGTCTTAAATACAAAGCCTAGAATGTAGCCTTGTGTTATATATGTTTCAACATCTCATTATAACCTGAAGCAGAGCAAGTAACAGGTCCTAATTGGGTACTATTGTTTAGTCACCTCTGACCGAATGTTCAACCCATAGTTCACCATCATCTCCATTATAATCTCATGTGAAAAAGAGAAAGGTGGAGAGAGAGAAGAGAGAGAGAGAGAGAGAGAGAGAGAGAGAGAGAGAGAGGGAGGGAGGGAGGGAGGGAGGGAGGGAGGGAGGGAAGGAAGGAAGGAAGGAAGGAAGGAAGGAAGGAGGGAGGGATGAGGGAGGGAGGGAGAGAGCTTTCCATTTACACAACTCTGTGTGTCTGCATTGGGACTGTCCTTGAATACAGTATCTTAGAATAGCATTAAACAGTCCTTTTTTCCTTGAATCTATAACTTGACTATTTCAGTCAATCTAATAGCTTGGAATATCCCTCTCAAGGTTCCAATAGTTGAAGCCCATAAATCATCCCTATCCTCCTGTCAAGCCCTGAGAAATCAGGAGATACAGGGAGTTCAAATGAGTGTAAATATTTATTGCAAGCATTAGCTCTCTACAAGAATCTGAGCTACTAATGGTCGAGGGAAATTCATGGGAGTTAAGAAAGGCACTTAAGGTGGGCGGGACTTAGATCTCTTGTGGGCACGCAGGAACTCATGACGTCTGATGTGTTTGAGCCTTCCTTCCTTGGTGGGAAAGAAATAACTTTTCCTTCTCTTTTTCTGTTAGGTGTATGATTTGTTCCCCAAATTAATGAAGTATCTCCCAGGCCCTCACAAGAAAGCCCTGGCTTCGATGGATATTATCCTTGCGTTTGCAAAGCAGGAAATAGAGAAACACAAGGAATCCAGCTGTCTGCATGAGCCACAAGATTTCATCGATTACTATCTTCTTCGGATGGAGAAGGTTTGGGTTTATTGTGGTTCAATACAAGGGCAAGAATTTATTATATTCCTTGCTGTAAATAAACAGGCAGAGCTACTGATCACGTGTTCCTTCATCTTGGATTTTTTTTCTTTTTTATTCAGCTCCTATTGTGAATAGAGCCCATGCTTTGAAATAAGAACTGTATTGTACTTCTGCTCTTGTTAGACGTGGAAGGTGGGCGGAAACAGAACTCAATGGCTTCTGTTTGTCAGCCTCTCATGTTCACCTGCCACTCCTTTTTCTAAAGAAGTTCCATTAAGAAGGAAAAGTTTCTTTTCGAGTCTCACTGGCTCAAGGTTGACTCAGCCTTCCATCCTTCTGAGGTTGGTAAAATGAGGACCCAGATTGTTGGGGGTAAATATGCTGACTCTGTAAACCGCTTAGAGCAGGGCTTTTCAACCTTTTCACCCATTGTACCACTTTTAGGATATGGCAAAATCCGAGTACTACCAGTCGCCTAGCAAGGTGTCAAAAACTTGATAACTGCCCCCCCCAAAAGGAAAAAAGTGATAAGTACAGGTAGTCCTCGACTTACAACAGTTTGCTTAGTGACTGTTCGAAGTTACAATGGCACTGAAAAAAGTGCCCCCCAAGGCACAGCCGAGCAAGACACCTGCCTGCCCACCCGGCGGCGCTCTTCCTCCTGTCTGAGGTTTCCATTGTTGTGAGCATTTCTGTTGAGGATTGGCAGCAGGGGTGGGGTGGGAGGTGTTTGATTTTTATTCCCCCCGTCTGCTGGGTGGTTGCAGCAGGTTTTGGTCACTTCACATGACCCTGGGACACTGTGACCGTCATAAATATGAATCAGTTGCCAAGCATCTGAATGTAAATCACAAGACCCTGGAGATGCTGCAACATTCCACTGATCGGCGCTTCTTCTGGGCTCAGCAGAAGCGTCAGGATCAGCGCTGAGCTCCAGCTGGAGCCTGGTGCTGATCCTGGCACTTCCACTAAGCCCTGACAGTCCCGAAGAAGCACTGATCGTGGCGCTTCCGCTGAGCCCTGACAGCCCTGCAGCTCCAGCCATCTCTCGCTCAGGTTTGTGCGGTGCTGCCACCGGTTCAGCTCATTCCCCTCCCCCGCTACCACTTTCCTAGGATGGTTGCGTACCACCTGCCAGGTGCCAATGTACCACAGGTGGTACCCGTACCACTGGTTGAAAAGCCTTGGCTTAGAGAGGGCTTTAAAGGATGTGAAGTGATATATGAGTCTAAGGGCTATGGCTATTGCTAAAAGAATGAACAGGGTAGGGATTTTGATTAATTCAGACTTAATCCCTGAAATGATTGGAAAAGGACAGTTACTTCCATAGCCTTGACCGTAAGTAAAAATGTAAAATAATTTGAAACAAGGAAAAAAAGTTCGTTCTTTCCAACGTTTTGGGGAAAAGACCCAGAATCATTTTTTTTACAAGTAACTTATCAATTTGAAGTGCCTCAGAGCTGGGCTCCCCATTTCACATGGTTTTAGTGCCTCTATAGTCATAATTCACAGTAATTCAGTAGTGCATCAAAAGTCAAATAAGAGCATCACAAGTTGCACAAAGGCTCACCTAGCTATGCCTGCCACCAGTTCTTTGAGCAGGAGCTGTGTGTAGGAGAATCCCGAGAACCCCAGAAACAAAAACAAACACAGGAAAGCTGCCTAGAATTCATTGTAATTTTCATTTTCGATTTTAAACATCAGAGCAGGAATGACCCCGATTCTACCTACAATGAAGAGAACCTGGCTCAGTGTATTTTTGATTTTTTTTCTGCTGGGACAGACACAACCTTTGCTACTCTGAAGTGGGCCCTGCTCCTCTTGACCAATCATCCCGACATCCAAGGTGAGCGAAATCTGGGCTGTGGGAACAAAGGGCCTGTCTCAGGTTCTAGAACACATAAATTATTTGAAATACAAAGGTCTATGTGATGAACTGAATCTATTCTTCATAATAATTTTCCTATGTGGATTCCTGAATTATGAACATGAGCTTAGCAGAATTAACATGAGCTTAGCATAGGAAAGAGGGGGAGAGTGATCTACCGAACCACCATAGACTAACGAGGACGATCCTACCCCCCCACCCAACCACCCTGGCGGGTCTAGGACAGAGAGGAGGAGCTAAGTATGGGAATAAGGAGAGAGGGTTTGACAAGGAGGAGGATGGAAAGAGGAAGGAAGGGGTGGCAGTTACGATCAGTGGAGGAAGAAAAGGAGGGGGGGAGGTGAGGATCAATGGAGAGGGAAAAGGTCCCAGAGGGGCAGTCACTCGCTCGCATGCGAGGGAAGAGGTGAACGGAACAACGAGCCGCCCCGCGTGGGCGGGGACGGCCCCACTACCCCGTTTAGCAGCCCCGGCACACCCACAGCATGGAATAAGTAGGTATGAGGGTAAGGAAGAGAGGGGAACCAACAAGGAGCATAACGAGAGGAAGAGGGAGGATGTAAGAGATACAAGCAGTGAGAAAGGAAGGAGGGGGAGAGATACGAGGATTGACGGAGAGGAAGAGGATTCCAGAGAGATAGCCACTCGCTTATGGGTGAGAGAGGAGGAGGGTAAACTAGTGAGCAACCCCGCGCCAACGGGAGCGACCCGGCCACCCTGCCTGACAACCCCAGCATACCCGCAGCATGGAACAAGCAGTTATGAGGGTAAGGAAGAAAGGAGGTCTAGCCAGGAGGATAATGGGAAGAAGAAGAAAAACACAGGGGACACGAACAGCTGGGGAAGAGAAAGGAGGGGAGGTGTGAGGACTGACGGAAAGGAAGAGAGCCCCAGAGGGGTAGTTACTCGCCTACAGGCGAGGAAAGAAGGGTACAAGTTATGGAGCCATCCCGTGTCAATGGGAGTGGCTCGGGCACCTCGCCCAACAACCCCGACACACCCACAGCAGGAAAGAAACAGGCAGGCTGGCAAGGAGGAAGAGATTGGCATGGAAGAGAACAGAAGGAAGGAGGGGGGGGAGGAAGGATGAATCCAACTGGCCCGGAGGGGGGAATGATAGAGATAAAATGCGAAGAGGCAAAAGAGGTGTGGGGGATGTGACTGTAGGAAGGGAGAGGAAGACCCGTGGAAGTGACAGTGGGGTGACCAAACCCAGCGGGGGTCCAGAAAAGAAAGTGTGCCAAGTGGGCCCAACCAGTGCGGGGAATAGGAACATGGAATCACATACGCAAGGGAGACGAGGGATGGGGCTGAGGAGAGAGGGAAAGAGGAGTGACACTTCCACCCCCAACCCACGGGCAAACGAGCTTGACAGGAGCAACCGCATAGATAAGTCTTGCAGGATAGGGACAACCGGCGGAGGAAGGATCACCACCGGAGCGCAGCTGATGCAACCAGGACCGGTAACAAGGTCCAGGGGCCATGTGCAGGCCAAGTTTGAACTATAAAAGACTCTCCCATGGACTGACCGTTTAAGCCCTGATGATGTCAGCAGAACGCTGACGAAAGCTTGGCGTTGGTATTGTAATATTAAACTCCTAGAGTTTGATTATTTTACCCTGGTGTTCATTTTATTTTATTTATTTGGCATATATATATATATATATATATATATATATATATATATATATATATATATATATATATATATATATATATATATATATATATATATATATATATCTGGAGAATCACAAACTGTGAGACCACCAGGAGATAAAAACTATAACAAGTTTATTTACAATTAAAACACCTAGCTTTCGCCGGCCTCCTGCCAGCTTCATCAGGGTGGCTAACCATATTTTACCTGGTAAAATATTCTGGGAAATTCTCATCTCTTTTATGTACAGGTATTGGATAGTATGACACAGTTTCTTTGAATGTAGCTAAATTCCTCTTTACCATCTGTTAAAATATGGTGATGATCTCACCATAAGCTGTAATATACTATTATGTCTTTTTCTTTTAATTTTTGAAAAAAAGTTTTAATGTTTAACTCTGGTCTGTGACTATTTATTTTTATTTATTTATTTATTTATTGAATTTATATACCGCCCTATCTCCCTTACGGGACTCAGGGCAGTGAACAGGCAATAATAAAAACCACGATAAATATACACAAATTTCTGTTCTAAAATCTCTGCATGACAAAATCGACATGTTCTAAAATCTCTGCATGACAAATGCTAGACTATAATAATGGATTGATTGATACTTGTGAGAATTAAAATTAGGAAATGAACAAAGGAATGACTAAAGGAATAAAAACACAATATTGAAAATGAAACTTCTGTTTCCATCATTTTTTCTCTCTCTAGAGAAAATCCAGAAAGAGATTGAAGATGTGTTTGGTTCCTCGGGGTCAATTTCCTATCAGGATCGGAAGAAGCTGCCCTACACCAATGCCGTGATTCATGAAATGCAGCGTGTAAAATGTATCTTGCTATATGGGCTTCCCAGGCAAAGCACAAAGGACGTGGAGATAAGGGGTTACCACATCCCAAAGGTGAGAAATATGTTCAGGTTGTATTCCAGTAGTCCATCATGGAAGGAAAAAGAGAATAGGGCACTTGGGAGGACTCTATTCAGGAACAGCCAATTAGTCATGCAAAATTGAACAAGCAAGAATAGCAAACATTGGACTTCCGGTGGCTGCCGGCGGCCAATGGAGGCAATCTGACAGCCTCCCGTCAGCGTTCTATGTAAAAGCCGGCAAAACAGCGCGTATCAGCTGTTTGCCGGCTTCAGCCTTCTTCTCGGGCAAAGGGAAGAAGGTGAGCTGCTGGTGAGTAGGCGTAGAGTTCCCTAGTCTCCCTGAGGGCTCTCAGGGAGATGTAGGTGTGAACTCCGCCAGAGCTCACAGCCATCTCCATAGATCGGGACGTCTTCGTTCTAACGAAGCAAGACGCCGTTTCCACCTCCAATGCTAAAGATTTGAACTGTGAGTAAAGCTCTAATAGACAGAGCTTACCAGGAACGCTGGATTTTTTGGATAAAGTTTCAACTCTAACTCGATCTTTTTAAAGACATCTTCTGTATTGTTTAAGCTGAA